GAGCAGGAATATTCAATTTTAATGAAATACAGCTTATCAATTATTCTTTCACAAGCTGTACTTTTAGAGGTGTTGTTTATGAAGTCATTTCTATACCTAAAGTCATACAGATTTTCTTTGGTTATTGTCTAGAAATTTATAGCTCTACGTTTTACATTTGGGTCTACAATTCATTTTGAGTAAGTTTTGTGAGAGATGCAAGGTTTATGTCTAAGTTCATTTTTGCATGTGATGTCCTACTGTTTGAGCATCATTTGTTGAAAATATCATCTGTGTTCCTTTGTACTGTTTGCTTCCTTGTCAAATATCACTTGACTATATTTGTGTGGGTCTGTTTCTGGGCTCTCAATTCTGTTCCTTGATCTGTTAGTCTAGTACCTCACCAATATCAAACTATCTTGATTACTATACCTTTATATTACTCTTGAAGTCATACAGAAACCATCATTTAACTTTGTTCTTCTTTAATACTGTGTTAGATAAATTGGATCTTTTGTCTTTCCATACAAACTATAGAATCAGTTGGTATCCAAAATCCAACTTCTGGAGATTTTGACTGACATTGCATTGATTCTACATAACAAATTGGGAAGAAATGACACCTTGGGAATAATAAATTTTTCTATCCACAAGCACAGAATATCTCTTTACTTATGCTTTTTACTTGATATCATTCCACAGAGTTTTGACATTTTCCTTATATAGATTTTGTACATATTTTGTTAGCTTTAAATCTAAATATTTCAAGTTTTGGTCCTAATACAGATTCTGTGGTGTTTCAAATTTAAAATTCCACTAGTTCATTTCTGGTATACAGCAAAGGAACTGATTTTTGTATTATCTTCCTTATACCCTACAACATTCTTGCTTTAATCACTTGTTAGTTCCAAGAATTTAAAAAATATTTCTAATTTTTTATATTATACCATCTTGAACATGATGGTTTTATTTCTTATGCCCAATATGTCTTACTTTCATTTCCTTTTCTTATCCTACTGCAATAGTATGAACTTACAGTATAATGTTGAAATGCAGTGATGAAAAAGTACATCCTTGCCTTATTTCCGATCTTAGTGGCAAAACTTTGAGTCTGACATAGTATATATGTTGCATGTAGGTTTTTTTGGTAGATATTTTCTGTCAAGGTGAAAAAGTTTCGAAATATTCCTATTTTACTGAAAGTTTCCCTTCTTCAGGACTGCCAACCCCAACCCTACCAAGGGTGTTGGCTTTAGTTGAAGCTTCATACATCTACTGATATGATCACATGATTTTTTCTTTCTTATCTGATTTACTGATGAATTGCATCAACTAATTTTTGAGATTTTTTTTTTTTTTCAGTACCAGGGATTGAACTCAGGACCTTGTGCTTCTAAGGCAGGCGTGGAACCACTGAGCTAAATCCCTGGCCCTGATTTTTGAATAGTGAACACAGCTTAAATACCTGAGTTATATCTTGTTTGAAATCTCTGACTTTATCTAACATTTCTTGCATGGCAGGTGCACTAGTGACAAATTCTTTCAATTTTTACTCGCTGAGAGTATTTCTCCTACATTTTTGAATAACAATTTCACAGGCTAAAAATTCTATGTTGGCAATTTTATTTTTCTCCCAGTCTTTCAAACTTTGCATTCTTCTTTTTTATTGCTTGTTTGCATGGTTTCCTAAGAGAATATAAATGTAATTTTTATCTTTGTTTTTTTTCTTTACCTTTAATTTTCTACAGTTTGAAAACATCTGTCTAGATAGAAGCTCTTTTTTCATTTTTTTTCCTGCTTTATGTTTTCTGGATCTGTGAATTGGCAACTAATAGAAATATGATAAAATTTCTGTCATTATTTCAAGCATTTCTTTTTTCTTTTTTCTCTGTTTTCCTTCTGATAACATTGTATGTGTATGTACAACGTCTGTAGTTGTTTTCATCCCTGGGTACTGTGTTCTGTTTTTTATTCTTCGGTCTGTGTTTTCTTGCTTTAAAGTTTTCACATTTTCTATTGATACATTCTCAAACGCAGAGACTCTTCCTTCAGCTGTGTCCATTATATTAAGAAGCCTCGGGCCGGGGATTTAGCTCAGCGATTCGGTGGCCTGCCTTTCAAGCGCAAGGACTCGAGTTCAATGCCCAGTACCAAAAAAAAGAAGTCAATCAAAGGCATGTGTCTTTCTTTTATTATATTTTTTGTCCCTAATATTTCTTTCTGGTTTTAAGAATCTTTTGCCTATTCTTGCATGTCGTCTACTTAATCCACTAAGAACTTAATCCATTAGAACTCTTAGCATATTATTGTCTGAAATCCCTAGTTTTACAATTCCAACATCTTTGTTGTATCAGAATTTGGTTATAATGTTTGCCTTGTCTCTTTAAACTGTATTTATAGACTTTTAGTATGATTTGCAGTTTTTTTATTGATAGCCAGACATATAAAAAGGAACCCCTGTAAATAGCCCTTAAAGTGATGGGGGGTAAGGTGTGGGGAAAGGGGAAGTATTTTATAGTTTTATGATGGGGTCTCAATTTTTTAGTATCCCCTGTCTGTGGACTAATCTTCACAATTACGTGCCAATATTTTTATTCCTTCTTGGGATTACTAAAGCTGGCTGGAGGTGGGTACTTTCCTTCTCTCACACAGAAGGTTAGAGTTGACTGTAGCTGAGTATTTTATTTACCACAGAACAGGTAGGCACTGGTAAAATGCTTAACTGGTTGTGCTCTGGATGAATAGTACTGTGTATCCTGAGGGTAGACCTGTTAAGAGTACTCTGATGATTTCAAAATAATTACTCTTCCATTCTGTGAGCTGGTACAATGAGGGGATTTTTTTAATTGAATCAGGTCACACTCATGGAGGAGGAACTCTCCTTATGACTGGTTCCCTCTGTAGTCTTTTTATTTTCAGAACTGTTCATAGTAAGCTTTAATAAATGGTCAATCAAAGTTCAGGTTTTCTTACCCTGGCACTGGTTCCTGGGGAGGCTCTACTTGGGAGTTTCTGTTCTCATAATTGTGAGTCTCTATCTTCATTTCTGTGTCTCTCCAATTTGGGCTTAGTGGTTTGCCTGCAACCTCATTCTCTTAAACATTTAATAAAATGTTGGATTTTTTTGGGGGGGAGTTGGTTAGTTTTTTACATGTTATTAAAACTGAATGAAGACTTCTAAGTGTAAATGCTTTTGTTAAGAGTAATGAGATACAGTGCTGGGGATTTAGCTCAGTGGTGCCACTGGCTGCCTCCCAAGGGCAAGGTCCTGAGTTCAATGCCCGATTAAAAAAAAAAAAAGAGTAAATGAGCTAGCTATATTGTGATTCTCTTAGTATAACATCTATCACATAGTAAGTGCTCAGTAAACTATTATTAATATCTGTTTATTGACCAATACATATATTCAGGAACATTTTTTTTTCATTTTTTCCCCTTATCCCTGCCCTCCCTTCACCCCCTCCTCCCCTCCCCATCTACAAACACTTTATTTTCATCTTTTCATTATCTCACATTTTTTCTTTTCCCTTATTACCCTTCCCCTACCCATCCCACCTTCCCTACACCTTTAGCTCCTTTCTTCCCATTTCTAAATGTCAGTAATCTTATTAGGATCTTATGTATTATTGCAGATTATTCACACCAGGGAAACTATTCAGTATTTACACATGTGTGACTTATTTATTTCACTTAGGAGCATATCTTCAATATGTATCCATTTTCCTATGAATGAATCTATTTTCTCGTTCTTTATGGCTGAGTAATATTCCATTTTATAGAAAAACCACATCTTCTTAATCCAGTTTCCAACGGATGGGCAAATGGGCTGTTTCCAAGATTTAGCTATTACAAACTGTGCCGCTATAAACATGGGTGAAGGAACATTTATTATGATAACTATTAAAGAAAAACCTGGGAAGACAAAGCCAGAAGATAAGAAATATTCTTTCTGTACTTATCCTGTTTGGTTTTGACAAAAGGTAGTATGTTTTTAGTTTAAGTAGAACATAATGTCTAATTTATACAGGAGTAAGAAAGTCATTTTAGTAGCTAAATAAAAATATTTCTAAGAATCATATCAATTGCATTATTTAAAAATTTTTTATCTTTCTACTAATACATATGACTGAGACCAAAATAATGAAAAATAATGCCATATAGTTAGGATTTACTATATAAACATTATGTTAAGAGCTTTATAGTATTATCTCATTTAATCCTCTCTAAATTCCTATGGCTTCTGAGCTACTTTATAGCAGAGGAAATTGATTAGTAAGTATAACTGTCTTAAGTAATAAAGCAACTGGGTACCAGAGGTATAATTGGTACAATAAATAATACTGTTTAGCTTGATACACACTCATTTTTAACTTTTTCATGAAAACAATGTTATCTCTTACAGTTATATTTATCAATTCAGTATACAAAGGTGATCCAAGTTCAGTTTAATTTTTTAGTTACTAACTCATGTGAATCATGTTGAGGGTTTCTTTTTAATCTCAGAATATTACTTTTAGTCAGCCAATTTACCTTTTACTTTCAAAAACGTTATCAATAACTACCTTGGGATGCCTAGGGTGCTACAACTTCCCATGTCTTCCATTTAAAGACTTGAGATTTAAATTTTTAATTAATATAAAAGATGTAAATAAAGTATCCCCCCCATCAGGGAATGAACCCAGGGCTGTGCATATGAAGTGAAGTACCACTGATCTACACCTCCAGCTCTTCTTCAGTTAAGACTGTCCAGGCCACTGTGCCCAACTACTAACTGGTATATTTTAAACTCAGGGAATCTAAAGGGGAGGAAATCACTCTGAAAATATACAGCAACAAACTATATGACAAGAAAAATGAATTGCAATTAAAATAGAGGTCTGATTCCAACATAATTTAGACTTTGTTACAAAAAGTTAAGTAGAAAGGGAGATGATCAGAAAGCAGATTACTTTGCATTATCCCAAAATGATCACCCCATATTACTTCTGTATTTTGTGAAAATAATCAGTAATTATACTGACCTTGGACTCATCTAATCCAAGCTTCTTTAGAGACATTCTGACATAATCCAGAAAGGAAGAGCATTTGGAATAAATTTTACCAACATGCTGATTGCTGTAAAAACAAAGGTGATGTTTTTATTTTTGGCTTTCCATTTTAAATAACATAATCATAAATTCAAACATGAATTATTTAAAAATATCTTTTGTGTAAATGGAATCAAATGCAGATTGACCAAAATGTAGTAATACTTTTGTATAAATTGTAAAGTGATATAAAGCACTCAGGATCAGGATGTATATCTGAGATTTCTTACAACACACAGCAGTGAAAGGCATTACAAAAATATACCATTTAGTTTTAAACATATAATATTAAAAAGCCTCATTTAAAAAAAGTAATAAATCCTTCAAAAGTTTCCATTGTGCTTCAAAATACCTTTTAATTTTACTAGCTCACCACCACAATACACATTTCACTGCAACACCTACTGGTGGCAATAATTCAACAGCTATGAAAAGGGGACTCTTTTACACAACGGTAAATCTTTTAGTGCCAATCATTGATCCAGTACCATATGCTGAGCTGTCTGACTTGATGCCACTTATGTCTTGCAGATTTTCATTACTGTTTAAACAAAGTATCTTTAAATGGTCTTGAATTTAAATAAAAGTATGTTAGACTATCACATTTCATAAATTTGGTTGCAATTTAAACATAGCATAAAAAGGGTAGAAAAAACTCTCCTACAAGTTATCAGAAACAATGAATTAGACCTCGTTTACTCTTGGCAGAATAAATATTAATCCTTAAGATTAAGGAGACATCACATTTTATCAGTTTTTTCCTTCAAAATATATCTCAAAAATATTCCATCAGCCACATTTTAAGGTGGCAGCCTCATCTCTACTTATTACATCATGTCCTGAAAAACTATTTCCTAATTAAGACCTCTGACTGAAGTCTTAATTCATTTCTGTCTACATACTTTTTAAAGTAACCTTTCTAGAAGAACATTTTTATTCTCCCATTTCCCTGCTCCAGAAGCTTTCAGTAACTATCTTTGTTATACATTTGGAAAGGCTAAGGATGACGGCCCATGTTCATCACCACATTTTCTCACTCTCATATCCTTTTGTGTTCCAGAGTCTCGTTTTCTCTGCTTAGATCAGCCTACTCCTTGATTTAGATGCATCTCTACATTTACACTTTGGTGTGTACTCACCAAAGTGAGATGTACTCATCTCTTAACAGGTAGGATTCCTCACTTTTCAGGTCAGTTGAACTAAGTCATTCTTTATGGCAAAGTTACGTTTACATGCTATTTTTGCTAAAGTGACTGTAAGTCACTATTTTTGCTAAAGTGTTTTTTTAGCTTCTATAGCCCATGTCCTCATTCTGTTCAGGTTATTTTATCACATCCCTGAATTAGCAGTTATTTGAATAGGTATAAATTCTCAGGATGCAGATGCAGAAACTATCTTTATACAGTTTTCAGCCACTTTCTCAGATTTTACACATAGTTTTATATTTTATGTATATCAGACATCATATATTAGATATGTACATATGTATCAGAGAATATTGAATTAACTGTGTAGACAGAAAGGCACCATTTAATATTAACTTCTTGCCCTTTATGCTAATGTTTTTGAAAGTTTGATTTTGTAATACAAAAGGACAAGTATTTAAATATTTTTATGAGACAGTGATTCGGATTCTTATTTTATACCAATGGTGGCCAAACTATGGGATGCATGCTGCAGTGGGTTGTTTGCACCACGGAAAGCCGTAAAAGATTTGCCATCACTGTTTTATACTATTCATTGCTACTTCATAGAGTATCTCAAGAAAGTACAGTACAGCAGATAAGAGTGTGGCTTCTAGTCAAATTGGCACTAACATGTATTAGCACTTTGATTATAAAAATGAGATATAAACAGTACAGTATTTGTTTTGCAGCATTGCTGTGAGAACTAAATAGATAACAAATGTAAGATGCTCAGAAGAGACATAAGAACTGTTACTGCGGTTACTATCATTATTGTTGTCTTTATCGTTACTGAAATTATAATCTGTATTTCTTTTTATTAGCATCAAAAGAACCAGAAAAAGATGCTCACGAGTGGTAAGCATTGCAAACTGAAGGGAGAATCTAAGTATAAGGATTTATTTCCTGGCTTTTGTTATTTCAGGCTGCTTGAAAACAAGAGAAACTTTTTCAATTTTAATTTGCGCTTATATTACTTTTCCTTTTCAGAATATCTTTTACAGTCTCACAGCATGATTATTTTAAGATTATTTTTAGTGTAACAGTTGGCTGTATGAGACTTTGTCTTAAAATGTTTTGTTTGGCTTTACTATTACCTGCTTTTAGCAATAACAAGCAAAAAATCATTCAAATAGAGCCAGAAAGGTAATTGATCATGTTACCCTTCCTTTTAAAATTCTTTAACCTTAAGATTCAAATTCTTAATGCAGTATACAAGCCTTGTATGATCTGATTCTCATTCAATGACTCCAACATGCTTTTATGATACTGCCTTCTCTGAAATCATTCTTTCTGCATCTTGAACACACCATGCTTTTAGCTATAAACAGTATTCTTGGAACATTCCACTCTCAATCTTTTTGCCTTGGGGACCCTAAACTCCTCCTTTCAGATTTTATCTTAAATGTTGCTTCCTTAAGAAAGCCTTTCTGGCACTCCAGATGAAGTTGGGTTTCTGATATATTTCCTTCAAATACTTCCTGTTTTTCTGATTTTTCTCTCCCTTTAAACTCTAAGCCACTAGTCTCCCCAAATGAGACAAACCCAAAGGGAAAGAAAATATTAGAATCTATATTTCTATTTTATCCTTTATAATTTCAGTTTTTGAGTTTACTGTAAAATCTATATGCTAGTATAGACATTATATCAAATAATTATTTATTTTTATGTGCATGCTTAAAAATGTTTATTGACAAAGTTGCAAAGTTTAAAAGTTTTTTTGAGGTAACTAAGTGGCCAGAGAGCAGTTTTCACCTGTTTTGCTCATGTATATATTTCCAGAACCTAGGACAATGCCTCACACATAGCAGGATCTCAATACATAAATTAAATAATTAAATAACTTCACAGCTTATAAAAACAAACACCTTGTAACATGACAGCAGGGAAATGCATTATGGTAAATAGGTCTATTTATTATAATCCAATAGAAAAAGAAAAGGCAGACTTACTATATAAATAAGTGTAATTTAAAATATACAAGCTGCGCATGGTGGTGCATGCCTTTAATCCTAGCACTCGGGAGGCTGAGGCAGGAGGATCGCTGTGAGTTTGAGACCAGCCTGGGCTACATAGTGAGTTCCAGGTCAGTCTCAACTACATAGTGAGAACTTATCTCAAAAAATATATATACAGAGCAACTACTGAATAAACATATAAGGAAAAGTGCAAAGTAAACAATGTATGTAGTTAGCAGATAATATTTACTTCATAGTAATCATGTGCCAGTGTTTCTTAAATCTTTTACAGCACTGAATCATTTAATCCTTACAATATCACCAAATATTTAAGTTTCATTACTATCTCATTTTAAAGATAAGCTACAAAGAGGTTAAGTAAATGGCCTAGGTCTAGCTTCAGAATCGGATGTTAGCTATTAGTGTTTTCTCCAGCAGAGTATGAACAGGATTTATACTCAGTGTTAGGTTACAAGTGAATTTGATCTCCTCTGTGTTACAGGTACACAGATGCAGATGTTGATCCACAATAACTTACCAGAAGATGTACATAGCAGTGTGGAACAAAAATACAGAGAAAGTTTAAATTAAAAAAATTATTACAATAAATGACACATTGCCATGAACCCACTCCCAAATACTCCAGCTTGCTTTGAACACACTTATCTTACTGTTCATGCCTCTTTCTAAAGCAGGTCTTTAAGTTTTCATCTATGTCTTTAGTTGAGCTTCTGTGGCTGCCTTGATGTCCTGACTCATTTCAAAGTGTTTACTTTTCATGGTCATTTTGACTTTAGGGAAGGGTTAGAAATCACGCAGTGGTAGATCCATCAAATGAGGTAAACGAGAAAACATGGAAAGGTTTTTATGAGCCTGCTTTCACATTAGATGGCACTCAGCTCCAACATTTATGATTTTTTGATCATATCTCATAAAGACAAAATAGAGGACTTCCGTAACTGCTTCAGAAAGTAGTAAGAATGATGGATAAGTGTGTTCAAAGTGAGGGAGAGTATTTTCTGGGGAATTAATGGCAATGTGTCTTTTACTGCAATAAAGTTTTAAAAATTCAAACATTTATTGTGTATTTTGATCACTCCTTGTATTTGTACAGAGAAGCTATGTGGACTCTCCTGCCATACTTTAGAAAATAAATGAGTTTTATTGCTTTAGTACAACAATAATATGCTGAAAAATTCTACTAACTAAAAATGATATGAGAGGATAAGGGAATACACATGTCACCAGAGGAGATTTGTTCTCTTCAATTTTTTATTGCTAGGCTTACTATCTAAACCTAACAGAAGTTATAGCTACTCCGAAATATTTCAATTCTTTCCAAATGGTACTCATGTGATTTAATGTGTTCATTCATTCATTCATCTAAAAATATCCACTGAATTGCTGTATATGTATGATAGTGTAGTGGGTAGCACAGGTCTTCAAATCAAGCCTGAAAATCGTTTGAATTTTACTCTGTAGGGGACTGTGCGGTTGACTATGCCCAAACTAGATTGCCAGCAGTGCTGGCCAGAAACAGTTAATCCTCAGTTGACTCATTTCAAGAAGAGAGTCTGACTAAAACTTACATGAATCATAGAAGCATCATGGTAGCACACAGGTTAGCATGACCTTCCTGCTAAGAGTCATATCCAGGACCAGAGAAAGGCCTGTGAAGCTGTGGGGCTCAATATGAGATAATGTAGCAGTTGAGGTCAGAGTAACTTGCAACCAAATTCCATTCCCATAACTAAAACCTTCTTAACTAAAAGGACAAGGTTATAATTACAACTCTTTATTTTGTCTCTTCCACTCCTAATTCAAGAATGTTTTAACTTGTCCTTTACAATCCTTGAGTGCATTAGTATCCACAGTAACTGCAAGAC